AATTGCGGATTAAAATTTGAATTGAATGGCATAGGGAGAAATCTTTTAAAATTGTTTGCACCTGGGAAGTAAGGTTTTGGATTAAAATAATTTTGATTATATACATGTTGAAAATTAGGTCTTGGATTATTAAAATTTTGATTTTGATAATTTTGAAAATTAGGTCTTGAATTATTAAAATTTTGATATGCACATTCTTAAGCGTTAATTGGATAAGGTCCCTGAGGTTTTTGTCTGTTTTGAAAGTTACCATTATTTTTTGAATCTAAATTACTACGATTTTTATAATCTAGAAAATTTCCTTCCTCTCTGGCGGAAGCTATAGTTTGTTCAACTGAATCGGGATTTTTTAAACGAACAACAAGTTGCATATGATAATTTAGACCATTTATGAAAGTTTTCAAACACAAATCATCATATTGTTCAATTTTCAATAATTTAACATTATTTGGTTCATTAGACATATTAATCTTTAAAAATAAGATGCTACGTGCATCTTAAATTCTTGAGCCAAAACTTTGTACATCTTCATTTATTTCAGGTTGCATTGAAATTATGTCCAGAATGATAGATTCAATTGATCTTTGATCAGAAAAAGTAACTGTAATAGCCAGCCTAAAACGGCATCTAGCGGACTGTAGTTCATTTGTTAAGCCGCTATTACATTTTTCTTCGATGGCTGCACTGGGAGAGCATCCTGGAACACTTGGCGATATTATCAAAAGGGTCGGTAAGAAGTTAGTGAAAAGTGGCAACACTGCCAAAACATGCCGGTCTTGCAGGCAAACGATTTATGTTACCTTTTACAATTATTCAATAGAGAGGAAAGGGGAAATAAAAAAAAGAACCTGTGCAGGCTCTGCACCTGCAGGTGGGCTTCCTGCTTACAACTAGCACTTTTTACACTGATTTGCTGACATACGCACTAAGGCGAGAAACCCACACTCACTCGATGTAGAGAATTTACGTAGTTTCTTAATGTCGCGACTCGCGGGCCGATAATCCCCGGTCGAGTCCGTTAAGGGTGTGTTGCAAAGGCACTACTTTCCGCGTATGCAATAAATGCAGACTTTTTCTGCTCGAGCAGGGGAGGCGCGTTTCATCACAGAGTGTTAGAAATCTACTCTCGTCTTTTCACGTTGAATGTTAGAGACGCACTGGCTCTATTCCCGCGCCGACACGCCTTAAACCCTTTCGTTTAGCCAATAAGGGAGCTTGATTATGGAGGGATTATCTAATTATTCTTATTTATTATTATTTATGTGAGTTGTTTATTATTTTAACTATTAGAATTATTTATTAGGGCTTGTGCATTGTTATTGTTTATTTTTAGGCGTTGGTTTTTTATAATTTATGAAATAAAAGTGCATGACGTGTTCAGCCTTCGGCTGTTTCCGTTGTATATATTTCTTGTTGGTTGTCAAACGTGCTGTTTGACATAGCGGTTTGAATTCAAATTCATACAGTAACTAAAAGTGCATCTTTAACCCTTGCCCAACTATGTAGTTCCGTTCTAAAAGCTATTAAATCAGCAGCTCTACCCGTTAGTTTCCCAATTATAGTATTAAACAAACTAATATTAATTGCAGCATTGTGATCAGCCCGATTTTGATGATCTGCAAGAAAATTTTCACAAGCTTTAATAAATCTACTAATTTGTTTTAGATTTCCATCAAAATTTGGAATATTATTTACTTGGTATGTAATTGCTTGAAAATTTGGTTGAGCCATTTCGTTAATATTTAAATTTACAAATCTATCTATTATATTATCCACAGTGAGAATCAGAACATGACACTTTTTCAGAAAAATAAAAGGATATGTGTATTTAAAAGGAGGCACTTACAGTAGAAATATTTTCTTCATTTAATTCAAAATGCTTAAGTATGTCCTCGGTTCCAATCCCCTGTTCACTCTTAACTATGGACTTTGGACGATTTAGTTCCTCTGCCCTCACCAATAGAGTTGCGTACGATTTAGTTCCAGTCCCCTGGTCACTAAGTCCTTTTTTTTAGCACTGAAATGTCCATAGATTCGCACCAACTAACCGTTAAAACGGAGAACTGTACGAAAATTCGACGCGTTTCGTACAATCTTGGTAAAATCCTACTGCTAACTGCGCCAGTTAAAGGTTTCAAAACCAAAAACGAATTTTTAAAAATTGACTTTATTTCGAATGCTACAAGATTAGAACTAACTAAAAAATTATGTTTTTGCACTATTTATAAACTACGGTTAATCATATATTTCTAAGCGTCTATTCTATTCTTCACTATTTTACGTATTCCTGGAATATAACTGTTATCTACATCCTGTTATGATACGTATTTCCTACAAAAGTTATTTTGTCGTTCTGAGAAAATATGTTATCAGTTTTAGACTTTCATTAAATGCGATTTGTTATCAACGATGTTTCATGTATGAATGTAATTTATTAAATAAAAATATAATAAATTGTATACATGTAAAAAATATTAATCTAATAATACTCCTTTAGGATAATCATATTTACATTGGCTTTTGGATTTAGGTTGGTGATTTCTCTTCCTAATGTTAATGTCCTTTTTTTGGCTTTGGTATCCTCCACTCCCTGTTTAAATCTGACAAATAATAGACGCAGGTCACTGCACGTAATTTTTCTCTTTTTCGGTAATTTCCCCCACTCTCCCGTTTTCCCTGTTCAAATCAGACTAATAATAGCTGAGATACGCGCTTAGGTCCTTTTGGCATTGCTACTGCGCATGTGTACTTGCGAATGGCAACTATACTACGTCTCACGTAAAATGCCGTTGATTATATACATCACCTTGCAAATAATTATCAAATGTCCTCGTCGTCGAGTGGTCTACAGCGCCTACCGCTAATCAGTAAACCTCTCTGGGTCGGTGGATCGATCCCCCGAGTCAGCTTTTTTTTAAATAAATAAAATAATATTAGGTTTATGAAACTATAAAAATAGAAATAAAAGTAATAAATATTAAAATGACGTATGGTGAGTTGCTGTCATATCCAATAATGATTGTGTATAGTGAGATGTAGAATGTATGTCCATATAGCAGACGGATGACAGCATGACACGTGACATGACAGGTGACCAGGAAAAGGGCAGAGATTCCGAAGTTCTATCGTACGTTACGATATGAAGTTGACAGATGATTCGATAGCAAACCTTTCGCCACGTCGAAAGTGATTCCGATGACATGTCGTCGGTTAGGATCGGCTGTCGACAGTAATTTGAATAAATGGGACGAAAATTTGAACCAACGGCATGAGCAAGAGATTGAACTGGCAAATGACAGTTTATTTGTTTTTATTGTGTGTTTATATGTACATTTAGTTAAAAGTAATATAAAAACAATTTGTTGATTGTTACATTTGTTCCCGTTTGTTTTTATTACGTACATTAGTGCATTGTCTTTGCGCAATGTTACCAATTGTAGCTGATGTAATTGAAAGAGCTGCAAGAAACCAAAGGAGGCAAGAAAATGTAAGGCTTATTCGTCATAGATTTCAATTTCGACTAACACATTCTTGTTTTGAACTCCCTGAAAGAAGATTTATTGAATTATTTAGGGTAAATAAGAATATAGCAAGACACTTAATTAATCAAGTAGAACCACACTTGGTGCAACCTGTTTTAAGAAGGGAAATAACTCCAGAAATAAGTGTTTTGGCAGCATTAAGATTTTATGCTACAGGAAGTTACCAGAGAAGCATAGGGCAGGAATTTAATTTGGGACTTAGCCAAACTAGTGCTCATAGATGCATAAGAAAAGTGACGAACATAATAGATCAGCATCTAGCTGATTTGTACATAAAATTTCCAAATACACGTGAGGAAAGACAAACAATTAAAGTAGAGTTTATGGAAAGATGGGGATTTCCAGGGTGTATTGGAGCTGTAGATGGAACCCATATAGCTATTTTGAAACCTCGAACAGAAGAGCATAATTTTATAAATAGAAAGGGATTTCACTCATTAAATATTCAAATTATATGTAATCACAATTTACAAATTTTGAGCCTCAATACAAACTACGGTGGATCAACTCATGATGCTTTTATCTGGAGGAATTCTATAATTCAAAGATATTTACAGTATTTGCATCAGAATGGAGAACACCATACTTGGCTTATAGGGAATGCAGCCTTATTTAATTACTCCAATAATGGATGCAGGAGCAAATACTCCAGAAGCAGCATTTAATTCTTCATTAACTTCTGCAAGAAACTGCATAGAAAGAGCCATTTTAGTTTTAAAAATGCGATTTAGGTGTTTATTAAAAGAGCAAGTAGTAAGGTATGAACCTACTGTTGTAGCCAAACTAGTGAGCAGTGCATCTATGCTTCACAATTTGTGCCTGCTTGAAGGATTACCTCTTATTGGCAATGCGAATGATCCGTTACCACAGGAGGAAGTGGACCAAAATATACGTCTACCAAATTTACAAGAGGCAGGTCTTCTACGTCAGGGTGAACATACAAGAAATGCAATTGTGCAACAATATTTTACAAATAATTAAATGTTTTTTGAAAATCTGCTATTTTTTTTTTAATTATGAATAAAACAATCTTTAGTCATTTGTTTTAATTATTTAGTGGTAGGTATTGATAGACTAGTGGGCCATTTCGATTATATGAAATTAACTAATTTTTAAGTATTTCTGACATACATTTTTAATTGTATCGTAGAGATATATAGTAGGTAATAGTTTTCTAAATGATAAATAAATCAACAGTTCAAATAAAGAGTTTATAGGTATGCAGTCAAATTCATTCTAAAAACACATGTAGGTAGGTATTTATTTACAAAAAAAAATATAAAATTCTAAATAAAATAATACATATTCTTAATGAATAAAAAGAAATACAACTATTCTAAAATCTATAATAATAAAACTAAATAAAAATATTCTCTAAATACACCAACATACCTACACTTAATATAATAAAATTAATCTTACAACTACACTTAAATATATATTACACATAAATATATATTACACATAAATTTTACTTTTCGACCTTTTTTCCATAATATCCGCTATTCTATTTAATGCACAATGCACACCCTGAAGATTAATATTAACTTCCTGCAAAGTGCTTCTTATTTCTTTTAACTCAGATATCGTCTCCTTATAAAGTACATCTGTTTCAGTTGTTTTCATTTTTTTGGGACGTGTACCGTGAGGTAATTTAACATAATCATGGTCGGAAAACCTCTTTATGGGTGTCCTACAAAAATAAATTGTTAACCTAACTTACTAGACAAGATTATAAATTACCTTTGAATTGTCCCCGTCTTGAAACATTCTTTAACCGCACCACCCTTGGAACATTCTCCAATTAAATTGGTATCTATTTCTTCATTTGGCGTATTCAAACTCATGGGCTCTGGTGAGTTTTGAAGTATAATCTCTGACTCTATTAAACCTGCATTAAAATGGTAAATTAGCAAACTAGTACAAAATAAATAACTTATGATCCTTATACCATTTTCCTGTCTTCCAATACCTTCATAAAAAGTTTGTCCCAATATACCCAAAAATTTTATTTCGACTTCAGAAAGGGGGGTCATATTAGGTGGGCCTCCGCCTGTGGCAGTTTGCTTCAGCATGAGAGCTGATGCCTTCTTTTTAGGGTTGTACTTAAAATCAGTCCATGTCTGAAAAGAAAATAGTATAGCCACCAAGTGAAAATGTGTTATCAAGTTTATTTCTTACTTTCTGCCACTTATAAACTTTTCGGGCTCCACCTCCTACTGAATTTAGATTTTTGGCACATGTTGCCCATAATTTCTTCATTATATCTTTGGCATTTGGTCCAGAAATTTGCCCTCTAGCAAAATCGGGGTGGGCCTCCATGAAATTCAGTAGAACTTCCCAGTGGGCTGGAGTAACTTTAAAAGCCATGTGTATTATCTAATAAAATGGACATATTATTTAGTAATTTTATTATAGCTATTACTTACCTCGATTTTCAATAGAATCCGAAAAGATTTAAAATAAAAACCGTTGATTGATACAACAGCAAGTCGATAGAAAAACTAAAATAAAAACTACTTGTTCACTAGTAAACTAGAATAAAAAGAGAACAAAATACTTTTAAAAAGAAATGGTTTTATCGTCACGATCTGACGATAACTAAAGAGCTGTCGTGAACATGTAGGCCACCCGCAGTACACCCGACGACATCGAATGTTGTTCTGAATCGCATATGTCGTGCCAACGATACACACTAGTGTCGTATCGTCACTTCGGAATCCCTGCCAAGTTTCTAGATTTTGAAAATCTAGTGACAGACAGTGTTACCAACATAAAATCTAATGAGAAAAGCAGTGCTACCAACCTACAAAAAAGTTACTAGATTTTAAAAAGTTACTAATTCTAGTGACAAAAATGCCTTTTCGGACCTTAGAAATTCCCATGCACGATTTTGGACCAGAAGTGGTGTAGCTCTACTTCTCTATATGAAACAACAATATCAGCCAAAGTTTTATACAAAAGAAATAAATAAACTTTATTCAATAAAAAACTCAAAAGAACATAAAAGTAACAAACAAAAAATATAAAATAAAACCAAATACAAATGTTTACATTTTCAAATCTTCTTCATCTACTTTCCTGTCTTCATCTGTCCTATTTTCATCATCATTCTGATCCAACTCATTTATTCGGGGGTTATACAATTTTCCCGCCATTTCGAAAAATTCTGTTCTGTTCTGTCAACATTTAAATGACTTTTATAAAAAATGTACCTTGCAAGATTGCCAGGTACATGTGCTTTCTTTCTGCCATTTGACAGCGATATAGCTTTGGCATGTCTCCAAGATGATTCGAAACTATGTGCCCCCGACTCTGGATCTTTGAAGGTGACGGAATGGTTAATAGTCAGATAGTTATAACTACGATCGGTGAGGCAGTTGTAAGACTTCCAACAGTCTGATATGATAGTAGTACCCTTCTCGATATATTTTTCAATAATAGGAACAAGGGTATCACTATCACGACTTTCAACAGCCACCATAAATATTCGGCCTGTTCCCCTTTCATAACCTCCAAAGACCTATTGTCCTTCCACATGGTGCCCTTTATTGTACTTTCTTTTCCCCAATTTGGTCTCGTCAATTTCTACTATTTTATCAGGCCCGCCAAGTTTCTCCTCATTTCCCAACAAACCATTTAGTATCACTTCTCTACAAAAGCTAGCCCAGTCTATTGCCGTTCTTCTATTTATCTCTAGTTGAATGCAAATTGCTTCTAGTGTAACATTATAAACGCACAAATTTACAAATTCCAAAATTTTAAAAATAAGTAATTTTGATTTCCAAAAAAAAGTACCCTTCCTCAAACTGCTTCTGTATCCACATGGCCGCCCTTTTTTTGTGAATTCGAACACTATTTTGGCATCGCCAATAATAATAATAATCAGCCTTAAAATAAAATGTATATATTTCAAATTTAAAATAAAATAGTAACAACCGATACTGTTACAGTTTAAATAATCGGCAAATTACTAAGTCAGTTTATCAAAATCATATACACTAACACATAGAAAATGTTACAAAAAATAAAACTTACGATTTTGCATCTACGGAAAGTTTTAACGGCTGTTTGCACCGTGGACACAAAACAGTGCTTTCTTTTGGTATTAACTTCCACTTTTGTAAAAATTCTATCATTTCTACGATATTTTCACAAATTTTAAATAATTTTACCAAATTTAACATTTTAATAGGTATAAGTTTTACTTTTTTAAAAAGATCACAAAATTTAAATGTCAGAAAGTAATTATTATGTATTTTTTGTTTTACCCGATTCAACTCTGAATAAAAACACCGGCAACACTGTAATTTAAAAGAAAAATCGTTTTTTATTTAGAAAATCTAAAGTATATCATAATACAAATTAACAAATTAAAACATAATATTAACTGCGTTAGTTTATCAACTGATTTTACTTTATAGTTGAAATGGCTTTTTACGGATTATTTCTTTATTTTTTAATAATTTTACAGTAGATACATCAAAACAAAAATATCGATTTATAGACTATATCGATTGTAAACAATAAAATGCTGTCACCGTGTCATCGGATCATTAGTGATTTATGACTTTTTAATCGAAAAAATGGTGAAAAAATTTAAAATAAAAAACGAACAAAATAAGGTAAAATAGTAGTTCCGCTAAAAAAAGTATGGTACCGAATTATAAACAGTCTACACAACATTTTCTCAAATTTTTATTAAAATCGGTGAGTTTTGTATATACTCAAATTTTTCCAAATGTACTTATCTTATAAAAAACGGTAAGAAAAGATTAACCTTTAAATTTGAAATTAAAAACCGTTGTTTTTTTATTACTTATGACAGCAAACGGCAAGTACTGTCATAAATCACAGAACGTACTAACCGACTTTCAAAGTAAAGAGGTCTCTGCATATGGCTGTCTAGTGTTTCCGGTTTTCACTGACTGACATAAAAATTATTTAAAACTTTAAAAATATATTTTCATAACTTTCACACCACTAAAACACTGAGAAAACTTGTATACGTCAGGACAGTATCGAACTCAGGATTTCTACTACTCACTTCCACGTCTTTCTTTTTCCCTACGGTCATGATTCAGTACCCTGCTTGATCTTCAACAGGGCATGCAGTCTCAAACTCAAGATTTTTTGTACGCACTTCCGCTTCCTCTTTTTCCCTACAGTCATGATCCAGTTGTGGATTTTTCGCATTTTTGTTTGATTTTGTTCGTCTGCAGTCATCGTTGCGATTACGTTGTCTGGCTTAATATGACATTCTAACTCTTGCTAGGCTTTAGGCTTTTCTCTGGCGAATCTCACACACCAGAAGTACGTGAACTGGTTAGCCTGTCTCAGTCCTGAACTATCGTCCCAACCAAAAGATTCTGGAGCATGCATCGTCTTAGTTAAGCCCCCTATGTTAGTGTTCTGGTAGACTTGCCAATGTCATTTTGAATCCTTATGTCTACTAGGCTGTCGTTCACCAGTCGTGATTTAATTTAGATCTGCTTAGCATCAGTATTTCCTAATTCTTACTCAATTATTATTTCTCTTACTATTACTATTATGGCTATTGACTTTGCAACATTATGGCATAAACCCCTAGACTTCTTCTCCAAGGAGCTGTGTGACCTTGTCGTTTGTGGAAAAGCCTTCGGCGATATAAATTTCTCTGGGAAGTTCTACATGTTGCTAAATACTAAAGTGATATAGCTTAAGAGGAGTAAATCTGAAAAAACAAATCAACTATCATCAAGCCCTCAAAGCCTATAAAGTTGGTTACAAATCTAAACACATATCCTACGAACTTTTTATACTTTATATACATAAAAACAATTCAGTTTTTTTACGAGTGTGAAGTTGGCCCTACCATGTTATGATAATTACACCAAAGTTGTACTAATATTTTGCAACTAATTTGCAACTTTAGGCAACCGGTATAAAAAATTTGCAATCTTACATTTTTGTTCTAATCGCTAACACAAAATTGGTGGGGCCAAATTCACGCAGCCCCACCACATCGTCGTATTGACCTCGAACCTTTTTCATAATTTAGCAACTAAGTTGCAACTTTAGGCAACCTTCTTGAAAAAATTTGCAACCTCGTGGTTACGCCGGAAAGGGCTCCCTAAGTTGATTGGGCCAAATTCACGCGGCTCCACCACATCGTCGTATTGACCTCCAACCTTTTTCATAATTTAGCAACTAATTTGCAACTTTAGGCAACCTTCGTGAAAACATTTGAAACCTCGTGGTTGGAAGGGGGGCCAAATTCACGTGGCCCCACCACATCGTCGTATATACCTCGAATTTTTTGGGGCCAACATTTTTGCATCTGACACGCCAATCATAATTAAACAAAACAAAACATTTTAAGGAGAGCATAACAAATTTAATTCCATAATACAAGTTTTCAAAGTATTAAATTATAATTTAACTTAAGTTTGCGACCTCAGGGGGTTGCCGCTTGAGGGGCGGAGGGATGAAAACTTTGCGTCGCGACGCATTCCGGGAAATAGCGCCGTTGTGGTAAGTGCTATCGAAAAAAAGTTCAAATGAAATATGTACAAGACAAAATCCTGCACAATTTTGACTTCTACATTTTTTTGTCTGCGACCAATAGTTTCCGCTCTACGAGGCACCAAAGTAAGGGGCTGATTTGCAATGTTCGACAAAATGAGAATTTCAGCTCGAATTAAGACGAAGATGAAATAATTATGTATTTTTTTTTTCTAAAAGAGTAATTATTTCTGAGTCTGCAGATGCCCGATTTGGTATATTTGGTCGTATATAATAAATGATAAGATGTTTTGAAGCGCACCCCTTCATATTTCATTACACAAAATCTTTATATCAGAGTAAATATTACATAATTATTTCATAGCGATCTTCGTCTTAATCCGCGCTGAAATTCTCATTTTGTTGAACATTGCAAATCAACCCCCTACTTTGGCGAATCGTAGAGCGGGAACTATTGGTCGCAGACAAAAATGTAGAGGTCAAAATCGTGAACATGTTCGATTTTTTAAAATTTTTAGAAAAATTTAAAATAAATGCGTTTTGAAACTTTCTCCCTTGGACGGTATCGGTAAATTTTTCTACGATAAAGTGGTTTTTCAGCAAAACTTTGGTGGTCGCATAAAATGTAACATGACTCACTACAATTAAAAAGAATTTAAGTATATACAGGTTTTGTCTGTCTGTTAGGAAGTTTAATAGTTTTATCCGGCCCCGTAGGGCCCGAACTAACCCATATAATTGCGTTACTTTCAAATGCTTGAAATGTTCTTTGCAAAATTAATAAGTAAGGTCGCATGAAAGCGACATGACTCACTAGTTTTAATCCTGTAGGGCTTTATAATTTTAAACAAAATTTAAATTAAGCATTGTTTTTTAGGTTAAGAAGAATAGAGGTCGAAAGCCAGTATTAGACCATGTATATAATATTTTAGAAAATAATAAATTGAACCTTTTTGAGAATGAAGTATTGAAGCCTTATACAGATCATGTGTGGACTACTATTTGTGAACAACTAGGGAATAAATATAGTCCCAAAACATTGTATATTTCTGTATTTCAAGATCTTCATGATTATCAATCAAAACTCAAAAAGTCATTAAATATTTTTTCAACAAATAACGATTCATTTGAAAACAGTTCTGAAAGAAGTTCAGATAAAAAATCAGAAGATAAAACCAATAGTGGAAAAGTTGACGGGGAAAATAAAAAAAACACAATTTAATTTGTCCATTCCGTATAAAAAGTATTTTAAATTTGAACCAATGACCATGGACAGATATAGTTAATGACGCATTGTTATATAACCTTTCTTGCAATTTTATATACAAACGGTCTGTAGTAAGCTGACACAACACGAACTAAATACTTCATCAAATTCCATTCTACATGTAAAGATCAAGGTTGCAAGTTATTTGGATCGGTTGACAAACAACCTCAACCAGGGCAACCACTATTAATTAATGTTTTAGCAAATGATACTCGGGGCCAAGAGTTACAGCACGTTACTAAAAGGCCTCTTAAAGGGACCAAACGAGAGACAGTTAGTAAACAACTATCAACCAATTTAGCATGTAACTGGAGGCGAAACAACATATCTGGTATGCAATTTGGTCAAATTTCACTTCTTAATTTGTACAACAATAAAATTTTACGGAAAACAAAACAACAATTCAAAGATAAAAGTTTAGGTATCACTGAAAAATGTTCAATTAAATCATTAGTTGAATTCAAGAATAATTCACAATTTTCTGGTTCTATTCATTCAATAGGCATCGATCCTGTCGTGGTTCATTATTGGAGTACACATCAACTGATCATATATAAAGACTTAACGAAGACTTATTGTAGGCTATCAATCGATGCAACTGGTGGATTAATAAAACGGTTTAAACGTTCATCTTTAAACTTAACTTCTAGTCATATATTTTTACATGAAGCAGTTGTAAATACAGTTATGGTCAGATTCCTGTCAGCCAAATGATTTCTGAAAGACAGGATAACTGGCTTGCTCGATGGTTGAAATCAGGTATAAAAATTCCCGACGAAACAGTTTGTGATTATTCTACAGCTCTTTTATGAGCTATAAGAGCATTTTGTAGTGGTTTAGCTTTACGATGTTATGCAGAAAAGTGTTTCAGGATTATAACAGGACATCCAGAAAAATTACCTCAATACTATATCCTTATTGATATAGCGCATATGATTAAAATATTTTGCCGAAATAAACATTTAACAGGTATTAAAAATAAACAGTTGAAACAGTTTTATATTAGAGGAGTACGATTATTAATATCATCATGTACAATTGATGAATTCAGAGAAATACTTATCGCACTATTAACAACAATGATGAGCGAAACAAATGGGTTGGATGAAGCTAATAACGTAACACCATCAGAAGCCAGTAAAAATAAGATTTTAAACCTAATAAAAGGTATTACTCTAAATGATATTAATGGTGAAAAAATGGAACATAATAAAGAAAATAATACATATACCCAGAGTGATGATGATGGAGACGGAGAATCTGAAGGAATTACAGAATGTTTAAGGGCAATTGAAGAAGAAAGTAAAATCAATTCAAAATTAATAGGAACAAGTTTATCAGGTTACTGGGCTCCCAACCTCGTAAAAGATGTTTTACGTATATGTAAAGACTTTCCATTATGGACGAGTGTTATGAAAATATATTTTAGCTCAATTTATGATACTCCCACTTCAACTTCAGTAGAGAGTGATTTTGGCGACAAAACGAAAAATTCTTCGTTACGAAATTAAACCAATGACAGCTGACCGATTTGTGATAAAGCATCTGAAAGCTATAGACAGTAACACTAAACTTTTCAGAAGTAAACAATTAAGGCATGATTTAAGCGCCAAACATATAAAAAATGCACTAGACGATATTACTGTAGATAAAATAAAATATAAAAAATACACAAGACGATATTACTGTAGATAAAAAATCACCAGTAAAAAATATAAAACGATCATTATTTGAAAATTTAGATGAATGTAGTGATTCAGAAGTGTCAATTATATCAGACATATCAGAAGGTAAAAATGAAATGGATATATTGACAATTGGCGAGGTTTGGGAGAGAATAACGAAGTTGTGGTAAATATCAATCAAAAGCCAATTAAGAGAAAAAACTAAGAATGACCACACATATGGATGCAGTGCCAGAAATTGAACATATATTGACACAAAAGACAAAGCGTTAAAATTTAAATAGTTTGCTTATAAATTGAAATATTATCACTCCACTAAAAATCTCAAAGCAAAGGTATTTATTGCATGACACTTGCCCTTTCGACTCAGTTGAAATTATTATAGCTATGGCTTACATTGATAATGATCAATATAAACAATTTATTGACACAGAAAAAAATGAGTTACTCCAGTTTTGTAAAGCCTTAGCTATTCATGGAAGTTCCAAAATAATGTATTTGAAGAGACTTCATATTTAAAAAAATATTTTTGAAGAATCTGTTGGAATAACTAATGTCAAACTAATCGACGCTAGATGTAACATTACATATATTATTTCAAAACTATTAAAAGATGTGCCATCAGCTATTGAAGAATTAAGGTGCTCAAATATTAAGTGTATTAATTCTAAAAAAAAACTTATCAAGTCCAACAATAATCTTAAATTTTTGTGAAGGCTTCAATAGAATAAATACAGCTTTAAATAAGTACATACAACCAATCACTTATCTTTGTACTGAAGAAAATTGTGATGGAACATTAACATCTACCCGATTCGTACAGCAACATTTATTTACTGAAACTGAAGTGTATGCAAATTCACGGCAATTTTCTCTAAATGAATTTACTACAGATATATATTTAAATGATGACAGGTAATAATAGTAAATATATTTATAATATTGTTATTAAAAATAATTATTATTCGTTTTTAGATATTGTAAGAAGCCCGTCCCAGTTGCTACAGCACTGTCTTACCGCCGAACGAGTGAGACCAAAACATTAGCCACCTGCGATGAAAAGTATCGAACGAACATCGAAATCGATAATTAGTCAGTCATCAATAAGCCAGCTAACGGATTGTATTCGATTAAATTTCTATTTACGCTAAATTTATGTTTCTTATATTTAAATATTTTATAAACTTAATAAAACTATTTCAAAAACGATACCGTGTGTAACATTTCAGAAGTGGAACGGTACCAACGTGCTATTTTTCGTGTGTTTCGTGGTAAAAAACTGCTGTGAAGTGCAAAAACGTTGTGTTAAAAAAAATAGACTTGATGGCGTGATTCCGATAAACGCTTTAGGTGAGTGTGTGCGAATCGTTTTGTTTTTGTTCTGCTTTGGTTTTATTGTTTGCAATTTTGCAACAGTACCGAATTAATCATTCCGTTTAAAATACAAAAATGCCAAGAAAAAGTGATAAAAAGTGCAAAAGACGTTACAGTTCGAGCACTGCTAGTTCTAAATCGTCTGGTGATTCGAGTTCTAGTTCGAATTCTAGCTCATCGACAAGTTCTAGTTCTTCGGAGAAACGAAAATTAAAACGGAAAGTTAGGAAGCTTAAGCAGCAACTAAATCAAAAAAAGTAGCGTGAAATATCCAGATTTCAAGATAAAATTGACAGTGTGCCGTATTTTTCCGGTCGATTGGATGAACTTAACGTTGAACAGTGGTTACGAAACATCGAATCAACGAGTGACGTGTTCGGTCGAGATGACAAATCCAAAATTTATTGTATGGTAAACAAGTTACGAGGCAATGCTAAAAACTGGTATAATAACCAAGCCGTCTTAAATCTCACTTGGAAAGAATGCAAAACGAAGCTATTGGAGGCATTTCCAGCAAGCACAGGTATTTTCTTTAAACTTAAAGAACTAGTAAATGTGGATCGTAACCGAAATCAAAATTTGGTTGACTTTTATTATCGAAAATTGTCGTTGGGGCAAAGTTGTGGTTTATCCGAAAAGATAATTGTAGATGTTATAAGAAATACTGTTAACGAACCTTTTTTAAAGTCGGGAGCTATAGCCGCGAAATGCGATACTACTAACGAACTTTTGAAGTTTTTTATTACAAGTGGTGAACATTCTAAAGACAATTTTGCAAATACCTCTTGTACTGAACAACGTTCCGAACGTTTCAATAGGTCAAATAAAAACTATAAAAGTTCTAACGACAATAAATTTAAATGATTTTTGGGCCATCAAGGCGGATTGTCCTAAAAATGTTTCTGTTAAAATCTGTGGTTTTTGCAAAATTAAAGGACATAATGAGGACAACTGATTTAGGAAAAATAAAATGAAACATAATAATTCTACTAAAACGGTTAACAAAATTGTTGATTCCGGCACCGATCCAACTAACGCAAAATATTTCAAAAATGCTCTTGTAAATGGCCAACCTTGTGTCGCGTATATTGACTTCGGAAGTGAGTGTAATTTAATGAGATATGACATTTTTTGTAAATTAAAACTTACTGTTCAAACTGATTCGGTTGATACTGTAATTCAAGGTTACGGGGGTTCAGTGATAAAACCAGTGGGATTTACAGGAGCGGAACTTAAAATTGACGACATTAGGGTTAACACTAAAATTATTATTGTTCCAAATCATGTTCAAAAGTTCGACATTCTAGTTGGTCGCCCTGTAACCGAACACGCGGGAGTTTTTGTGTACAAAACTTCACAATTCTTAAAGCTTACCACCGAAAACTTATTAACGCACTTGCCTCAAGATATTATAATGTCCGATAAAGTAACAGTTGAAACAAATTCTAATGTCATTGTAAAACCCGATGTTAATTTAATTCAAGTAAAAATTAACTGTAATAAAGGAGTGTTTTATTCTAATTATTCAGAGCAAATCTACGATAACACTGCCTTAGTTGTACCTTATAATAAACTAAAAGTAGACGATGGAATTTCTAATTTAAGAGTTTTAAATTTAAATAAAGTAGACGTTCACATTAAAAACAATACTTGTGTGGCGCGAGCGGTTAAAAGGGAATATTTCGATTCACAACTGAGTAACAACGTTAGTAAAAACGAACAAAAAGAACTTGATAAAATTATCGCGAGGTATCCTAAGTGTTTTACCGAAAATAATGACCTTTTGAGTAACATAGACGTTGAAATGCACATCGAGCTTATCACACACATACCGGTAACGTGTAAGCCGTACAGACTTTCTCTATTTGAACGCCAACGTGTTCTTGAAATAACGGATGACTTGTTCCAAAAAGGAATAATAGAGGAAACTATTTCACCATACGCGAGCCCAATCCTTTTAGTGCCAAAGAAAGGAGGAGAACTACGCATGGTGGTAGATTATAGAAAACTGAATTCTATAACCGTTAAGGATAAGTACCCGCTACCATTAATCGAGGATCAACTAGAGAGATTAGCCGACAATAGGGTATTCAGTACACTCGATCTTAAGTCGGGTTATCATCAATTGGAAGTTGATCAACCCAGTCGTAAATATACTGCCTTTATAACGCCCGACAATCATTGGCAGTACACAAGAGTTCCTTTTGGCATGTCTAACTCGCCTGCAGTATTTCAGCGTGCTATCAATCAGGTTCTGGGATCCCTGCGACATCCATTCGCACTAGTGTATTTGGATGATGTTCTTATAGTATCAAAAACTGTTGATGAAGGCATCAAACGACTTGACAAGGTTTTAAGCGTCTTTAGTCAAGCCGGTCTTACAATAACCCTTTCGCTCCAGGTACTCACAATTGTGAGGGTATTATTTACTTATGCTATAAAGCATAAAATAACATTTTGCTTTGTTTGCGCCGATTCGATACGTTTGTGATGGTCCAAAGATTGGGTACGTAAGGGTATAAAATTTTTTTCGTTAGTTTGTATCTGGCCACGTGGGAGTAAAGTGTTACAATCTTGAGATCACCGTCAGCCATGGCTAATCAAGGTAGGCAATCATTAATTTCTTTGGGTTTTTTACTGTTGTATGAAAATAGGACGTAGAAAGAGTTGTTTTTTTATGTAGAGTATAATAATAATATATCAAAACAATTGATTTTGTATTTCTAATCACCTATCTTTTTTGTTAGTCACAATTGTGAGGGATAGGAGTAAGTGAAGTAAACATTTTTTGTTTTGTTTCCGGAAAGAGAAAACTTATCGATTTAGATACTCTTAGAGATAATCCTGATGAAGTTTTTAAATTGTTGGATGAGATTGATTCAGAGCTTGAATATGACAGTGATGAAGATGATACATGGGAGCCTGTTCAAGTAGGTCAACCCGATTCTTCATCCGATAGTGAAAGTGATGGAGAAGAATTAGATGAACCTGCCCCAGCTCCTCCATGCAAAAAGAAAAAACAACCACTTAGGACCCTCTGGAAAAAAGCTGTGTTTACAAGTAAAAATGGCCCTTCTAATGTAGAGGGTGAGAATCCAAATGAAATTTTAACTCCCTGGGGTTACTTTAGTCGTTATTTACCTGAAGAGTTTTTTGAGCTTAGTTCAAAATGCACTGCTCAGTATTTTATGCAACAAACTGGAAGTGAGATGAAACAAAAAGTTACTTTTGAAGAAATAAAAAAATTTTTTGGTATTCATGCGATGATAGGTTGTTTGAAATATCCTAGAATACATTACTACTGGAGCACAAAATATACAATTCCAGTGATTTCACAAGCAATGAGTAGAGACAGGTTTTACCAGTTGCGAGTTAACTTCCACATTGTTGATAATCTAAGTGTATCTGAAGAACACAAAAGACGTAATCGCCTTTGGAAAATTGAACCAATGATTGACTTCGTTAGAAAAAAATGTAAGAACATCGAAAGACCTCTGAATGCAGCTTTTTCAATAGATGAGCAAATGATTCCGTTTTTAAGAAGGTGTGAATTTCGTCAGTATGTTTAAAACAAGCCTAGGCCTGTCGGACTTAAAAATTTTGTTGTCACTAAATCTGATGGAACGGTGCTGGATTTTGAAATATATCAAGGTTCAACGACACCTCTAACAAAGATTTGTGCCTTGGTGCTGCAGTTGTTCTTCGTTTGGTAAGCACACTTCCTCAAAACAGTTATGTATTCTTTAACAGATACTTCTCTACAATCGCGTTATTAGAAAAGCTATCGGATTTGGGAATAGAAGGAACTGGTACAATTATGGCTAATAGGGTTACAGGAGTTAAGTTCAAAGCTGACAATGAACTCCAAAGGGGTGAATTAGAGTCTCTTGTACATATCGAGAAGCCTATCTGTCTAACGAAGTGGAAAGATAACAAATCTGTTCTAATGGCGTCCACTGCTTTTGGTATTGAGCCAGTCAGTTTTGTAAAACGTTGGGATAAAATAGAAAACAAGAGAATTGAAGTACCGTGCCCCAAAGTAATTAAAACCTATAACGAGAAAATGGGAGGAGTAGATATCTGCGACCAAATGTTACAATGTTATCGATCTTTTTTTAAAACCAAAAAATGGCCATTCAAATGTGTCTTACATCTCTTCGATTTAGCTAGTGTTAATAGCTGGATGGAATACCGGCACGACTGCAAGACGAATCAGTATCCCAAAAGGGACATTATGGATTTTCTAAAATTTCGTCTTAGTTTGGCCGAATATTTACTATGTGGAACTAAAAAAACCTACTGACGACCCTACTCAAGATAACGAAGATCCGGTACAATCAAGAGTTAGAGTTACTCCAAAACCCTGTTCTGATAAGAGGTATGACGGTTTCAATCATTGGCCCCTTCAAGATGATATTAAAAGTCCGCATTGTTGTCGATTAGGGGGATGCAGTAGCACATCCAGAACTCGATGTAGTAAGTGTAATGTGTACCTTTGCCTGAATAAACATGAAAATTGTTTCCTGAAGTTCCATAATAAATAATAAAAGGCTGTATTTCATTTTCTTGTACAATTGTGCAGGTATCCTGTTTAGTACCGTGTAAGACAATTGTGCGTATTCCTAAAATCTTGGAAGATGTCTAATTAAAATTTAGAAAAATATAATATGCTCTAGTAACATCACAATTAAACTGTACTTACAATTTAAACATTATTGC